GAGGGTTGCGATCCATTGCCGGTCACAAAAAAAGACAAAAAGACAAAAAAAAAAAAAAATAGTAAGGGTATAGAAATGCTGAAAATTACTGTATAGGATTGAGCAAAAGAACTGATACCATTGGAAGCCAGGGTTCTCACTATGAAGATGGGGAAATACAAATTCAGAATGAAGGAAAGGAAGAACTTTGGATGGAATGAAATTGGAAGTATTAAATTATGATTTCTAAAATATTTATCCCTACTTTTAAATTATGTCCATTGAAAGGGCCTGTAAGCAATGATACCCCAGTAGCAAAGACCACACCTAGCACATAGATCTTGGTTTCTAAATACCATTTCCCACTAAAAAGGAACCAGGGCTCCTCAGAGAAATGGCTGATTCTCGGGCTGGGAAAGGTATGAGATAAGTCTAAAATAATTTGTGACAGAAAGGAAGCAAGTGCTTGCAGCGGACAAATTTGGGGCAACTTAGGAAGCAAAATAAAAAAGTTCTAAAACAGGTTACAATACATGTTATAAAATAAGAATCCATGAGCCCAAACTAATCATAAATAAGGACATACATACACAAAAGTAGAGGGAAGCACATTTCAATAATAGAATGCTAACTTAAAGTAGAGGGAGCAGAAGTGGAAAAATCACAATTTTGCAACAATGAGCGTAAAGACTGCTCAGGCAAGAATCATCAATAGATGCCAAATCTACAGGTGAAGTTTGATGAGGATCCAGACGTCGGCATGATCTTAAAACGTGTCTCACACTTTAATAAGCTATAGTTGCCAGAAGGAAAATATTAACTATACTGAAGAAACCAGACCACACCTGGACCAGATGATCAAAATTAATACTACTAATAAGCAGCAGATGAACATTGTGGGCCTCTAGATGTGATGTCTTAAAAAGGACATACATACAATGTTCCAGCCAGAAAAGCATCACTGAATCTCATCTTAAGAACCCACCAGAAACTCAAATTGAAAAACATTTCACAAAATAACTGGTCTGCACTCTTCAAAATGACAATGTCATAAAAGACAGAGAAAGGCTGAGGATGTGTTACAAATTAAAGGACACTAGAAGATACAACAACTAAATGCAATAAATGATCCTGAACTGAGAAAAACAAATGTGATAAAAGCCATTACTGGAACAGTTAAAATTAGAATACGAACTACAGATTAGATTCAAGTATTGTATCATTTAAATTTCCCATATTTGATAACAATGGCTGCACAAGAGAATACTCTTGTTCTTAGGAAATACACACTGAAGTATTACCATGTAAAGTGGCATACAGCCTACTCACAAGTAGTTCAGAAAAAATAATGTGAAAATTTGGCAAAATGTTAAGCTCTCTCTATCGTTGTCGCAACTTCTCTGTAAGCCTGAAATTATTTTAAGTCAATTAGTTTCAGAGGGTATTTAATAAGGACAGGCCAGTAAGCCAAAATAGTTGTGGGTCTTCCCGCTATAACAATGTTTAAATCCTTGTTTTCCCCCACAGACATTTCTACATCCTAAATTGGATCAAGATGCAAATACCAGATTTCACCCATTAGTTTAAAATTTTAAGGACTTTAACCCGAACCGGCCAGCCGGGAAAAAAAAAAAAAACACTGAGAACTTTTGAAAGAAATTAAGGTACATACTAAATATTAAAACAGAAAAAGAATTTTATACTAAATTTAGCAAGTTCAGAGAATTTAAGCTGACAGCTATTAGACTTTTATGAAATCTTCCTGTAGAAATAGTTGCACAATGTGCAAAGTATGCCATAACATACAAAAATGTTTAATACATTACTTATAATAGCAAAAAATAAAAAGGTGAAAATCTAAAAATCTACTACTGGAGAAATAGTTAAATAAATTGTGATACATCCACATTGTAAACTATAACACAGTTTTTAAAAATAAAGTATATTATAAGTACAAAAATATGGGTGTATTACATGACAGAATACAGGCTGAAAAAGAAAAATTGCTGGGCCGGCCTGTGGCTCACTCGGTAGAGTGCGGTGCTGATAACACCAAGGCCACGGGTTCGGATCCTATATAGGGATGGCCGGTTTGCTCACTGGCTGAGCGTGGTGCTGACAACACCAAGCCAAGGGTTGAGATCCCCTTACCGGTCATCTTTTAAAAAGAAAAATTGCTGGGCCGGCCTGTGGCTCACTCGGTAGAGTGCGGTGCTGATAACACCAAGGCCACGGGTTCGGATCCTATATAGGGATGGCCGGTTTGCTCACTGGCTGAGCGTGGTGCTGACAACACCAAGCCAAGGGTTGAGATCCCCTTACCGGTCATCTTTTAAAAAGAAAAATTGCTGATGTATCTATTCATACGAAAAATCAGAATTGTGGTTAACGTGTTTATGTATGGGTCCTGAAACAAAAGCCTGAAAGGATGCATGGGAAATAGTTACCAGAGATTGCCCCAGAGAGAATGGTATAGGGGGAAGGGCACTACTTAAAGTGTTAGAATTTTTTCCCTAAAAGACCATGCACTATTTTTACAATTTTAAAAAACCAAACATTTTGTATTCTTAGAACTTAGATTTAAATGTACTTTGATGAAACATGGTATCAGTGAAGAATATAAAATATAATTTTGACATCAAAACTACTAACATATTCTTGTTACTTAGCTATAACCAGATCTATGTTTCTGTTAAAGCACCTTTGTTCTACCAAGTTCCAAGTTTTAAAATTTTAAACTAATGAAGCCAACAATTCCCTTTTGGAAACATATAAGATATCAATTCTAAGTTGAAAAAGCCTGGTTAGTGATAGTAACAAAAATTTAAAAAAAAAACAAAAACAAATATCCACACAAATGTCTTCAACAAAGCTTATCCTGAGAATTATTTCAATTGACAGATCCAAGTATGATCTAAACTATGTACTTTAAACTGCTGTGATTTACAATGGAGAGAAATAATAAATTGTTGAACTTTGAATTACTGACCATTCTGTTATCAATTTTATGAACAGGAAAGATCATCATCATTCAGGTGTCCTTTTACTAACAATACATGCAGGACTATGCAAATACCTGAGAATTAAAGTCAACAAATATTTATTAGGCTGCTAGCACAGTATGTTTGAGGCATTGTACTGTGGTGATATAAAGACAGTCCCTACTCAAAAAAAACCTTATGAAACTGAAAAGAAGTTTTATTTTAAATTGAATGCAATAATAAAATTAAGGACTGCTTCCTCTAAAATCTAAACTCCTTTAATTAGGCAAATTGGGTGACTAACTCTTTCAAACACTGTTAGCAATGTAGTTTTAAGTCACATTCAGGGTACATTTGTAATTAGACAGCGATAACTTTCTGAATAGGATCACTACTACATACTTTGATAAGCAGTGCTTATACTATCAAGTGACAATCATAATTGAGACATTTTGTTTATGATGTGATGTTTGCTTATTCTCCTTTGCGCATAAGTCAATTTCTAGAAACCCTTAGGGAAGCAACTATTTTTTCAGGCATCCAGAATATTATTAGGAACACTATCAAAACAACTTATTAATATAAATCAATAGGCATGCTTCTGTTTACTGTAATTCCATGAATACTCTCAAACTCTCATTACCAGACATGACGCACAGGAGGAAATGTCTATGCTAAGCACCTTGAGAACGCTGTTTCTTTACCTTCGTGTACAAAAAGAACTGTCAATTTTCACTTTCAACATTTCCTGAGCATAACTGAGTCCCAGTATGTGTACAAGTGTATGGGAATAACAGATCTGGTCTCTAACCTTAAGAAGCTCACAATTTAGTAGGGAGAAAGGCGCACAAAAAATCTAGATGACAACATCATTAACGCCTAACTTTCAACAAGAGAAAAAAAAGTAGATAAAAATAAAAACAGTGGAAAATCTTGCTCTTTAAGAAATACATACATTCATACTAGTACTCATCCATTTTCATAAAGCCTTGTTTGAGTCTGCAAGCCCAGTACATTGTGGTAAAAAACAATACTCCAAGAACCTTTGGTTTCACGATTATATGACTTTAGCTTGTCAATCAGTCAGGTTTGGCCTCAGTTACCTCCCTAAAAAATGTATTATCTTACCAGCCTAAACCCGAATCATTTTACCAGCATAAACCAAATTGTCTCCAGTGGCTCTTCCCGCAATATTCATATACGCATCCATCAGATTCCCCACGTAATCATGGCCCAGGGAACCACTGTGAGCAGCTACGTGAATTACAGTTTGTAAACTGAGATAGGCCCTGTATTGTGCTTTAAAAGTTGTGAACTCACAAAATGTATCACAGAGGCCATGATACACTCGTATAAAGATGAACAAGAATAACTGAATATTTTCTCTGTGTACCATTCTAGGACAACAGCAGGGTGTCTTTCCAACCATGAATCCGAGTTTCTGCACTACTAGAACCACGCCTCCCAGAGAAATCAAGGAGACAACAGAAAAACCTCAAGGGGAAGAGCGAGATCTTGGATAAGCCAAGACAAGCCGTTCCTCCCCCCACCAAAAAAGCCCAGTTTTTTTTCCCCCTCCAGCTATGCAGCTGCATCCAGTAGAGAAGCTCTAGATTAGCATCATCTGCACTTCATTCCTTTTCTTTTGCAATAGCTACTCGCCTATAATAAACAGACCTTGTGCTCAAGGGAGAATTTACTTCCCCCTCCAGCAAAAATGAAGTTCCTTATTTTTACTAACAGCGTCTCCAATCAACACCCACCCTCCCTAGGGAGACCAGGCAAGTCTCACCCCGCCACGCCTCTCCCCGCCACTCCAGCTACAAGCCTGACGCCCCACACCCTAGAAATCGCCCCACTTTCCGAGACCCTTCTGCACGGGTGGCGGGGCTCCGGGGAGAACGGAAGAGGCTGGGGGAGCGGCGTGCAGACCCGAGGCGGGGGGGATGCAGCCCAGCCGGTAAGCGCCAGGGTGCCTCGACCGACCAAGGGGCTCGCGGAGCGGAAGAGGAGCGGCGAGTCCGTCCCACCCCCACTTACCCACTTTGTCCTTCCCGTACATGTGCCCGGCCACCTGATGCGAGAGGGGCACACAGCCGTTGAGGAATCGGAGCCTGCCGCTCGCCGGCTGCGGGGTGCCCTCGGAGGCGGCCTCGCTCGCTGGTGGGGTCCGTATTTCTGGGGGGCCGGGCGCCTCCAGCCGGAGGGGGGATGGCGGCTCCGTTGCCATAACGGACAGCAGAAGCGTATGCGGTGGCGAGAGCAGGAAAAATAGGGCGGAGGGAGGGGGCGCCGTAGAACTCGGGGGTCGCTCAGGCTTGGCCGCGAGGAGGCCCGGGGGTTCCTGCGGCTGGTGCCCGCTGAGGCCCGGGGAGGGGGCCCATGACGCCGCGGAGGCGCGGGTGCTCCCCTGCCCAACTCCGGCGGAGCGCGGCTCCCGGCTCCTGCTCCTCTGCCGCCGCGGTCGCCCGCCCCGGCGCTGCCCAGGAGACGGAACCGAGCCGAGGAGCGGCTGCAGCGGCGCCCCGCGATCCCCGGGGCCCTGACGGCG